CACCCCACCCCAACTTCAGCTGCCTGTTGGGGTCCCTACACCGCACAGGCTCCTCACAAAAACTCTATTTTATTGCTTTTACTTTTTCAGGGTATTTCCAATATAAATAGCACCCCTTTGGGAAAAATCCTGTCTAATTACAGGTTCTCTCTCTCCCCAGCAGGTTCCTAAACCTCAGGGCAACTGCTAAAACGCAGCCCTCCTGCCAGACCTCTTCGAAAGGGAGAGAGGGAGAGGAAGAAATCGGGTTTTGATTGTTTGCTTTAGATCTTTTATTGCATCCAGCCATGCCTTTGCTCGATAGCTTCTACACCGGGTGTGGGGAGGGGTCTCTTTCTGACTGCACAGCTGCATTTGACTTATGCTTTGTCCTTGTTCTCCTCTGATTTTCTGTGCAATCTGGAAGATTTTTCCCACTGAGATCCTCTTTATTTTTTTGTTCTCAGTAATTCTCGCCTCACAAGCCTGCCTGCCTGCCTGCGACATGCCCATTTAGTTAACTGAATTACTTATCGCATCCTCCTCACCTGCCCCCATCCTTTGCTGCATGACCAGAGAGAAGAAACCTACGTTTGCTGCAGAGAGGGAAGCTTTTAGTCACCATTCCCCAAATTTATACTAATGTTTCTGTCCTGATTTCAGTTCCAAAGCGAGGTGTGTGACAAAAGAGCAGGATTCAAACCTAGACACAAGTATAGAGTTTTAAGAGACATTTGGTGTGTGACTCCAAGTTCAAAGCACTCCAGGGATACAAATACTGAGTATGTCTGAGGTTTAGAATAAAGTCTTTTAGCCACTTAAGACAAGAGCTGGAATGTCCTGGGGAGGCCAAGCTTGGTCCTCATTCACTGCATCTGCCTCCGTGCTCCTGGATGGGGTTCAGTCAAGGACATCTCTAGGAAGTCCATGTGCTGTTCTCCAGCCTGCACCTCCTCTCGCTCACTGCAGCTTCTCTTTGCAGGGATATTCATTTACTTGTCAGAAAAAGAAGCCTCTCTGCACTTGGACGCAGAGAGGATAATCACTTTAAATACCTTGTTCTGTATCTAGGCAGTCTGTGTTCCCCCTTCATCTAAAAACCAAACCAAAAATGCATTGCAAGAAATCACAAAGTACCAGATCAGCAGAATCCTTTGTTTTCTGTGAACCACAGGCACAACAGTACTCAGCCACAAGGGCAGGGAAGGGCTTTGGGGGTCCGATATTCCT